TAGATGTTTTTCCCACTAAAATTGTGACAGAGTGATGCCGGGTGTGGTGGCGCACACCTGTAATCCCAGTGTGGGAGGCTTAGACCGGAGGATCGCTGTGAGTTCTAGACCAGCCTGGGCTACATAGTGAGTTCCAGGTCAGTCTCAACTAAACAGTGAGACACAGAATATGTGTGTGTGTGTGTATATATATATATATATACATACATACTACATAAATGAATATGATGGATATCTACTATTGTGTACTGTTAATTCTGAAAATACTGAATTCCCCTAAAATAAGACCAGGTCTTATATTAATTTTTGCTCCAAAAGACAAAATAGGACTTACTGTCAAGGGATGTCTTATTTTTTCGTGTACAACAATACAACAATTATGTTTATTCCTATACAGTCATTTCACCTTTTATAACATCATCATAACTCTCCAAATCCCAAATTCTGTCCTGAATTTCTTGGAACTCCATTTTATATAGAATCATGGCCCCACTCTCTCGTGCCAGCAATAGAGCTCTCCTGAAATGAGCACTTTTTGTCCATGTAGCCTGCTCATAGTACATAGGCAACACAACACACTGATTTTATTCCGTGAATTGTTCACCCAAGAAATGACCTTTTGCTGTTAGGCTTGACACAGTTTTCAGTAATTGTTAATTGAGCACTTATGAAATATGAGTGGCAACAAAAATAGTGACAGCTAAGAATGATGGTCTATACAAAAGCAACAAAAAACTGCAGGCATCAAAATTCAGAAAATGTTTATTTTACATGAGTCCATTAAATACATTCATTGCAACACATGACACTGAATTATAAAGATTCTTATTAGACACAGCCATATCCATTTATTGTCAAGTGTGCATATTATTCATGTGTCTGTACTCCAGTTGGTCATTTGGCAAATAAGTCAGTTTACATAGGCATTTACCTCTTGTCCAAAGACACCCACATTGGTATTTCCAAATACTTAATTATAATTTACATTTTAAGTATCAGTGTCATTATTTATATTTAATTATATATTATTACTTTATAATTCAGTATGTCCCTTGTGTGTTACAATGGACATAGTGAATATGTCCGTCTGGCTGATGATCTTAGCTGGGGCTTATTCTGGGGCAGGACTTAAATTATGAGCTTCCTGGAAAATCATGCCAGAACTTATTTTCTGATTAGGTCATATTCTCAGGGAAACACAGTATTTAAGTTTATATGACTCAGTTGTAACACAGTTGTGCATCATATGGGCTGTACCACAGTACATTTAAGTTGTTTCTAGTTAAAATTTGGCCACAGGAAACGGCCTTTTATGTTTCATCTTTACAGAAGTATGTCTTCGAGGTAGACTCTTAAAACTAACATGGCTGGCCCATTCTGTAACTAAATGATTTTGTTAGATGTCAGATTTGCTGCCCTTGAATCCTGTGGATGGGAATCCTATGGGATCTTAGGTGCATGCCACAACATGAGGCGTATCTACTTCATTACAATTCAGTAGTATAGTATGTTGTCAGGTTGTCTTAGTCACTTTTTTTCCATTGCTGAGACAACACCTGACAGTCACAAATACCGGAGAGATTTATTTTGGTTTGCAGTTTCAATCCATGTTTGGCAGGCTCAAACACAAATGGCATGGTAGAAGGGCTAAGTAGAGGAAAGCTACTCTGATCTTAGCAGCCAGGAAGAAGAGAAAGAAGGAACTGGGGAGGGAGATAGACCTTTCCAGGTCATACCCCTAAAGACATACGTCCAGCCAGGCCCCACCTCCTAATAGCAAGTCAGCTGTAGCACCACCATGGTCTAGCCACCTTCCAAAAGCTTTGCTCCCGTGAGGCTGAGGGGACATTCTCAATCTAAACCATAACACAGATTCCTCGATTTTTTTTTTTCCTATCTGATAGCAGAAAATAAATCTAGTGAAGATTTTACTTGCCTTTCTCTTACAAGTTAGGTTGGACAGTACAGTCCATCTCTTTACCTTTAAATTCTCAAAGAGCAGAGAAGATTGGAATATAGTATTGGTGGCATTTCAGTTGCCACATTCCTAAAAATTTTTGGCTGTTAATTGCTTAAGATAAAAACAAATGTATTATTGGGCCAGGGATTTAGCTCAGTGGTGTCACTGCATGCCTCAAAAGCACAAGGACCTGAGTTTGATCCCTGGTACCAAATATGTATGTATGTATTATGTATGCATTATAGTAAGTTCTTTTTATGTAAGAATAAAATATTTTGCAAATATCTTTTTAGGCTAGCAGAATCTGTTATGAAAGAGTTCTGTACTATCCTTAACTAAATCTAGAGTGGCAGGAAACTTCTCCTTCCATTTTTATGATGTTAACACTAATCAGTCTCATATAAGAGCATTCCCCTTACCTATTTCTCACTGCTTTCAAGTCTATAAAAAAATTTTTTTGAAACAACCTTTTGTCCTTTTATCAAGAGCTCTTTATTCATTTTTTTCCTTCAGGCTATTGTATTAGGGGAAACTGATGCTTCCATTTTTCAGTATGTTAAAACTATTACTACCTTATCTATATATACCTTGCCACCTCTCCTTTCTTCATTTTAAATCAAGGTTTTTCAAAAGAAAACTATAACTGTACTTCAGTTTGAAGATTGTTGTTGCTTATCAATAAAATGTTAATGAGTTTTGGTAAAATGCTTTCAGTTATGTCATAAAAAATATTTTTATGGTTATTTAGATCTGAGCAGCACGTCTTACTCGGGTTTTCTGTGTTAGATCTATTTATCATAGAACAGGAAGAAGTGCTTAAATTTTATAACAGAAGATAAAGAGTAGATTAATAGGAGTAAGAGAAGAGTAAACTTGGGATCAGTTTTTGAAGTAATAAATGTGGATTTATAGGAAATGTATTTTCTGGAATGACTGCTTTATTTTTTAAAAGTATATGAAATACTAAACTATAATAGAAAAGTGAAGGTAGTTGGTTTCCTGCAATTTAAAGATTTAGAAAAAATTGGCAATAAAGCATGTTTTGTGTCTTTAAAATAATAGCATGAGATTTGATGAGCAATCTTTCAATTGCTTTAGTTTTAGATACTGAGATTATGGAAGTTTTGTTGAATCTCTGTCTTAATGATTCTCTCACAATGGCAGAACTTGTATTCTTTTTCCAGCTGTGCTATCAAATGGGTGGTGTTCTTACTCTGCTGCCCACACACTGTTAGAACTCACCTGTTTTGCATTCACTAAGACAAGAAAGAGGGCCAAAAAGTATTGTGAGTTGATACTAAAGGTTTTAAGTATAAAATAGGTGGTGATAGCATAGTATGTGAGACTATGAAGTGGGAAGACAAAAGAGACATGGTATGTTCTGCCTTGAGATAAAGCGGCCAGATTGGGTGAAGGGAATTTGATTCAATCCAGGTGTCAAGCCAAGCCCACTTTGGCATATTAGTTGGTCCTGTCATGCAGGATCATAGCCTTGATAGTGTATAGAGATTACCCAGGGGCTGCAGTAGTATCTTTTTCTGTTATGCAGAGCCCAGGATAGCCTGGGCAACTGAGGAGTAATTTCAAGGATGCTTTAGAACCACTTTGAGAATAATTTCGTTTAAATTGGTATTCTTCCTGCAATTAAATATAGAACATTGAATTTTGACACATACTTTTTCCTTCCCACCTGTCCTGTCATTTACTTCCCACCCACACTTTCCCAACATTCTTATCTTTTTTGTGGAGCTTCAGTTTTCTTTGTACTTTTCTCATCTATCAAACTGTTTCTTATGTGTGGCATTATATAGTTCTTCTGAGCCATAGATAAGAATGGATCTGTAGGTCGTAACCTATGGAAAATGGGTTAGTGAGCATCTGGATGCAAAGAAGCTGCATCAAACTTGTTTTAACATTGCTGCCATGTAACATGCTCATGAAGGAGAGGTGCTGCCAAATGAGGTAGACTCTTGGTCTCTTGTTTTCTAATTCTCTTGGATTAAAATTTAGAGTATTGCTATTCTTTTCTTCCTTATAGTTAGGAGTTTGTCCTTTGGGCCTAGTATTACCTGTTTGATTTCTAGTTTCTCCAAAAAGAGAGAAGTACTGGTTTTACCCTACCTCTTTCTAAATTAGCTCTTGTTTAATTTCATAAAGAGATATTCATAGATCTTTGACTAAAGTCCAAAGTGGGAACACTACAGAGGAAGCATTTCTCCAGTCAGTTTCCTCATGGATCTGGTGGTTTTGCAGTTCTTCCTTTGGACACTGAAAAGTACTTATTTGCTTCTTTGGATTTTCCTCAGTTCCTACTTCTGGCTTCATACATGTCCAGTGATCCTGAGATGCAAGCTACCGTTGTTGTTTGATTTTCCCTTATATACTATCTTTATTATGGAATCGCTTGACTCTTATATCATGCCATTATAGTTTGATGAAATAGTTAATACTATTCTGGGGAGTTTTTCATAAAATGGATAAAATATAATTTTCTTTTTTTTAATATTGTGGGTTTTTTACAGAGTAAATTTAGGTTCACAGAACAATTAAGAAGGTACCAAAAATCTCTATATACTCCCCACCCTGGGATATCCTCCCTATTATCAACATCCCTCATCAGAGTGGTGTATTTGTTATAATTGTCACTCCTTTAATGCGTTCTTTGAAGAAGGCATACTGAATAGAAAAGAGATGCAGACCTTTCATTGAAAGCTTTACATAGAGCTATCTAATGTCTCCATTTACTCTCACTTTAAAGTGAGGAGAATTTTAGAAAACAAAAATTAGTAGATTGCCAGGGATTTAGCTTAGTGGTACAGCTCCTGCCTGGCAAGCACGAAGTCCTGAGTTTGATCCCCAGTACCAAAAAAAAAAAAAAAAAAAAAAATTAGTAGATAAACTTCTAGCTACAATTTGGTGAAAAATCCAAAAGAGAAATTACCAGATAATCTTTCATACCAAAAAATAGTATCTTTTGGAAAACAAAATACTATCTTTTGTACATTTTGGTTTTGATGTCAGTCTTTTATTTTTTCCTCAGTTGCTCTAGGTCGTAACCAACCTTTGAAAAAGGAGAAACCAAAATGGAAAAGCGATTATCCAATGACAGATGGACAGCTGCGCAGCAAAAGGGATGAATTTTGGGACACTGCACCAGCTTTTGAAGGCCGTAAGGAGATCTGGGATGCCTTGAAGGCTGCTGCACATGCTTTTGAGAGCAATGATCATGAACTGGCCCAAGCAATCATTGATGGTGCAAACATAACATTACCACACGGTAGGTTTGGGGTTCCTCAAGGGCAAAGGGAATGTAATCAGCTATTTTTAATAAAGAATCAAATGGGAAGAATCTTGTTTTTCTTGCTATTCTAATTTTTTTAATGTAGTAAAGAATAGTATTCTATTTTTGTGCATCTTAAGTTAGAGATAGTGTTTGTTTATAGTATAGGTTTTCTTAAATCATAGAAGATAATTGATAATATGTGTTTTGGAGCTTCTATGTAACCTAGTTTTATGTAAAGACCTCTTCTCCACTCCTGCCCCCACCCCTAGTCCCTTTGCCCATCCATAAAAATTTCTATTTCATAGCTTCTTTATCAGCATTAGAGATAGTCTCAATTTAGATTTCCTAAGATGTAGAGATTTATTTAATGAATGTCCCTTTAGTTATCATATTTTCTCATCAAGCCTTTTTTAAAACATAATGAAGAAAACTAAACTTAGAAGTAAGTCCCTTGTGTTCTTAAGGATAGTTTTCTATGATTATTACCCTGAGCATTATTAGAAACCTCTTCATTTTGCTTAGGAATGGGACTCTCATGACAACTATAAGCTTTGAATGTTTCTAGAGATCTATGCTAGATCCATGCACATAGTCTTGTTTGGTCTTCTTGATCAGAAATACTAAAAATGTTCATGTTACAATGAAGTATTTATTTTGTTTTCATAATTTTTGTCCTTTTGATTTATGCATTAATACATTTACTTTTCTCTAGTTTTTCAGGTTAGTATTTTTCTAGATTGTCTTTACAGATTCATATAATAGATAACCACCTAAATTCCCTTGTGTTATTTTCCCCCACTCATTATTATACTACTATTGTTTCCCCCCATATCTTTCTTTGTCTCCATTCCTAGAACAGTGCTTTTCACATTTAACCATCTGTTTTTTGTCGTTCAACTCTATGTCGAATATTTTAACTTGCTGCCCTTGCCAGCTTTCCAAATCTCCATTAATTTTCTAATTAAATGTGCTTCCTAGAAACATTCCTTCTTTATAGCTTTCTGTTCACTTTAAAAGCTTTTAATATGAGTTTGTGTTGCTAGCATTTATTAAACACCTGCCGATCACATTTGTAAAAATGATCTCTCCTACATGTGAAGAATATATGTATAATGTAGAATGCAACTTTAGTGTGACTATATAGTCCCAATTTTCATGGATAGTCTGTTAATTCCTACCTTTTCTGTGGTTAGGGATTAGGAGGTGGTAGACATTGTACCATTTACTCTTTTCAGTCCTATTATTATCTTTCAGCCAGTCTTTTTATATAATACTAAGTGAAGGGCTTGCCTCTATAATTGTTTTTTTTTTTTTCTCTTTTTGATGCTTATATCATATATTTTCCAAGCAGGATATATATTTGTGTAGGCTGGCAAGTGGGTAGAAGAAGAGTCATCTATGTGTGATTGTCTTAATTTAGACGCCTGAGATCCAGAACCTTGGAACTTAGAATTCTTTACTTTGTATGTAACATAGTTACCTATAGGAACATGATTGTATTCTGCCAGTAGTGATCTTGTTTTAAAAGACATGAAAGCTAAGTGGCTCTGTTTCATATAAGGCAGGGACTACGTCTAGTCTGTTGGATGTAGGCTCAGATCCCTAAAGATGCAAGTCCCTCATTCCTCCCTATCTATGTGAATTGTCAAGAAAAAATAATGTTGCTGGCAGATACACCAACAGGTTAGGCAGAATTGTTCTTGGAAATTTGAGAGTATTGAATGAGCTACTCCTCCTCTCTCCTTAAAGGACTATTTTCTGTGTAACTATGAAGGAATCAAACTGATGCCTGAGATTTCTTTTTTCAAAGCTCTGCAATAACTTTCTGTCTATTAAAATTATTTTCATTGATACTCTTGATCAAATTCCTTTGTTCATATTTGAAGCCTACCAGTGATATTTTTTGAGTGAACCTTAAGTTATGTTTTGGCATACATTATCCAACTCATCAGCAGTTTATAAATAAACTATTTGGTTTGTATTCTTTTACCTAGATCTGCTGAGTGATATTATTTAAATTCTTTTCATCTTTTTAATGTAATTACATAGTTGAAATTTTACTTTGGATGTGTTATGTTGTTTTATCTTTTAAATATCCAAAGTACCTTGTATTTTGAACTTAAATTATTGCATAGGCTTTGGCTGTTGTTTAGGTCAGGTTGTATTATCAGATTCAGTTTTAATTCTGATCTACTGTATTACTTCCAACTACTGTATATGATGTTAGACAGATCATTTTTCTGAAATCTCAGTTCTTTCACATGAAATATATGGACAGTAACTACCTCATGGGAGGTTTATTGATTCACTATGATGATGATAACAGTACATGTGAATTGTGTACCATAGTGTCTGGTATTCACTTAATAGTGGCTCTCGTGATTTTATTTCCTGAACTCTTAACATTAAAAAGTATATTCCCCAAATAAGTAAATAAATAGTAAATTCCCTGCAGCAAAATCTTGAATTAGAAATTTTTATCCTTTTTATGGATGTATTATCTATTAGTGACAGCTTTCTTTGGCTTTTATGGTATTCTGTCTTTGAGCATATATCCCTGATGGGATTTTGAGGCAGAGCTGATTGAGAACCACAAGTCCTAGTAGACTTATTAACTAGAAAGCAAAATAGTAAAGATATGTTAGCCTCATCCTATACCTGATTCATCCCTTCCCTTCACTTAGGGATTAAGAATACTGAGCACATTGTACTTAAACAGTCTGAAAAGATCCTAGGTCATATTTTCTTAAGCTTTCTTCCGTCAAATCCTTATACTTTCTTGTTTTCATCTTATTCCATCTTCTCATGTTGTTTTATTATCTCAACTTTATTCATACCATTATTTTCTTACCAGAAATATAAAGTTTTTGATAATGTATATAATAAACAATTACCTTTGATTTTTTTTTTTTTCCTTTTTTAGACGGGTTCTTGCTATGTAGTTCAGGCTTGCCCTGTACTTACTATGTAGTCCATTGCTGACCTTGAACTTGGGGCAGTTCTCTTGCCCCAGCCTCCTAAGTGCTAGGATTAAAGGTATATGCCACCACACCTAGTTACACATAGAAGTTTTAAAAGGATTTTTTAAACTGCCTGTGGCCTCTTGTGTTCCCCTGCCTTCTAATTATCTATAAAGGTTGCTGTTTCTTTTTCTTTTCTTTTTTTCTTCCTTCCTTTTTTTTTTTTTGGTGACACTAGTAGTCAAACCCAGGGCCTCTTCCATGCTAGGTAGGCACACTGATGATGAAAAGAACACTAAACTGAGAATCCTGACAATAATAAATTATTTTTAATGTTATCATGCCTGGAATAATCACCCTTGCAACAGTCCTCATTTTACACAGACAAAAAAACTAAAGTACAAAGAAGTTGTATATTTTTCTCTGGTGTGTAAGTCATGGAATTGGAATTTTGTTTGTGTTTTATTTTGTTTTGTTTTTTTGGTACCAGAGATCCAACTTGGGTCCTTGCACTTATGAGGCAAGCAGCAGAACCACTAAACTAAATTCCCGGCCCTTATGAAATTGGAATTTGAATTCAAGTTTTGGATATACAGTAAGAGTAACTGAAGTAAGGGCTGGGGATTTAGCTCAGACATTGCACTGCCTCACAAGCGCAAGGTCCTGAGTTCAATCCCCAGTTCAATCTAGGGGGAAAAAAGAGTAACTGAAATAGCTTAGTGTACCCCAGACACATCATTTCATCTCTGTGTTCTGCAAAGTGATTGCACAAATCACTGCTGTTTATTCCATGTCAAGTGTTTCAGGTCCCTTGCATATTATGTAGAGTACTTTAAATTTTTGTAGTTCAATTAGAACTAAAAGGAAACAAGCAGATTCTCTTATGACATAGGAAATTCATGTGTGTAGACCTTTCTCTTTCCCTTAGGTGTGTTGAGGCCTATTAAGTAGCAAGCCAAGGGGTGAGGATATAGCTCAGTAGTAGAGCACTTGCCTAGTACATGTAAGATCTTGAGTTCAATTTCTAGCACTGCAGAATAAGAAGCAGGCCAGGAATTTCATTGCTTTAAAGTTCCCTAAAAGAATTTGTCATTTAAGAAACATAATTGAGGGCTGGGGATTTAGCTCAGTGGCCCCAGGCCTGCCTTGCAAGCTCAAGGTCCTGAGTTGGATCCCTGATAACAACAACAAAAAAAAAAATCAGTAACTTAATTGATAAATGAATTTATAAACAAAGCAGTGAGGACATGAAGATACTGCCCTTACACACAAGATAAGAGATTTTTACCAGGCTGTTATAGTATTTAGAAATAACACGGGACCATAATAAAAACTGATGACTGATTAATCACAAATTAAATGTTATATCATTTGTTTCACTATTTTCAAAGATGTAAAAACGATTTGAAGATGTAAATCTACTCCTCTGCTTCTATCATTTTTTTTCTTCCATTAGAGCTATGAAGTCTGAAAATAACTGAGGTGGGAGGTTGTCCCTGAGTCAGTAGGCTTATCTCTGAAAAGACCTCCTTTTTGTGTCCTAGAAATGGAGACAGAAGAAACAGGGTTTCTGACCTGGTCCCAAAGAATATGCTATACTAACTACTACTTCTGTAATGCTGGGTCAGCTTTAAATAGACCCCTATGTCCAAGTGCTTCTGGGCTGCTCCTCCACTGCCTTTCAAGAGCAAAAGCCCTAGAATTAAAGATTAAGTATCCCATCAAAAAAGTAGTGAAATGTTGGACAGTTCATAGTTTGAATATTACACAAGTTTAACAATTATAAGCAAAGCCACTTTTCACTTCTGCTTGTTGGTTGATAGGATTGATTCCTCTGAGTGCCACACTCTTGCCAGCTGAGTCAATGTGGTGAAATGGCTAAATAAGCCTTTTGCTTCTCCTAAAGCTCAACTACAGAGAGGCTTGAGGTCATTCCCAGCAAAGTATTTATGTGAGAAAACCTGTAGTTAACATCCCTGCAGTCCTGAAGGACTGCTCTGATATTAGATTTAAGGATAATTTTTCTGACCTTTT